GCGCTCGCCGCCGCCCGCCCCCGACCCCGGACAAGAGACGAACAAACGACTGTTTACTCTCTGGAACTGGAACAAATCGGATGAGTTGAGTGGGCTTCCAACTGAAGCTCGTCTCATTCGGATATTTAGCTTCTTTCGTAACTTTCTTAAAAAAATTGAATATCAGAAGACGACGCAATTGAACATGAACACACCACTGCCTATTGATTGTAAAGAAATAAAAGATCTGATGAATGACAATACTACAATCTTACACAATATTGAACATTCGCGTCAAGAAGTAAAAAGTAGAATTATTTGAAAATTTTAAATGTTCTTCATGTTTGACATTAATTGAAGTATACTGTATTAATATATACGCATTTGGTATTGTGGTGAGTTATCGTTGGTATTTACAATGAAATAATTATATACGTCGTCATTGCCAACAATAGCTATGACAATGACGAGTCATATAATTATTTCATATACGCATTTTCTTGGGGCAGCGCCACTGCAGGGTCTCTGACTGGGAGATTCTGGAGTCCTAACAGTGGCAGGAATTTTGCCATGCTAGAGAGCTGGGTCGAGTTCAGCCGTTGCCTGGAAGAGAATTCCAGCGACCGGCTCCTCCAATCAAAATTTCCGAGGTTTCTCCGATCAACACCAGGTGAATACTGGGGCAATACTCTAAGAAACGGACCAGGGATCGCGCGCGATATTTCCTTCTTATTCCGTGTCCTATTCGCATCCCTTACTTACACACAATGGCACTCAATTGCATTGCATTGTCACACTTGTCAGGAGACCGGTCGGGGACTTCAAGCTTGTCCCTCCTGGGGAGGTGCCACGCTGGTGGGAGGCACCTGGTTGATAAGAAATTCCCGCAATTCGACGTAGGTCGGCACCGGATCTCGCCATCCAGCTGCGGAAGACCATCACCACTTTCTGCTATGAATTGCACAACACTTACGAGACAATGACTTCACTCGCTTTATGACGCTGTTGATACGCCCAGAATTACGAATCAATCGTAGTTATCTTACCTTCTTTGTTTGAAACCATAATTGTTGTTATGTGGATTTATTTGTGTATTTTACTCTCTGAAAACGGGAGAATAATTTAGATTCCATACATTTGAACAAATATCCTTGTTGAATTGAAATTTTCAAAATGACTTTATTTACTGATTTTATGTCTCGTAACTAAATATATAGGAATATCTTCCTTTCTATTTTGGACTATAATTACTCACAATTACCACTATCTCAACATTCGTCAATGTGAATGTATGGCGTCGAAATCCCATTGGCGACCCACGCATTTAAAATGCATTACTAATCTCTCGAATTTAATGGTGCTTTCAGAACGTTCCAATGTCCCCCCCACACGTCAGGCACAAACATTAAAATATATCCGCTTTGTTCATTATTTTCGTTGCCCAATACTTCATTACGGATTTTTTTTGCTATTGAGAGAGCACTCCGGAACAATGTGCTTCAACTGGGCAAGGAGGTGTGAGGTATTTTTCATTCCTAACAAATGACATGTGAGTCAAGTGCTAATGCATTTACATCCACTGTGTCGCCATCTATCTTGCTCCACGCGAATTACAGCTGTTTTCATTAGTGTGCCTAGGAACAAAAGAGATCAGCTCTGAGCCTCAGTGAGATTATAGTTTTGATTTATTGACTTAATGCTAAAAGTCAGTCTTTGAGAGAGCTGAAAAAAAAACTAAAAATCGGAGTGCGTGCTTGTATTTTGTCATGTTAAGGTTCTTGCGAATTTTGCAGGCTTGTTTTAAAAATCATGATAAAAGTTCGAAACTATATTGTACTGTGAATATTTCACAACCATAAAAATAAATATTACGCTCTATTATCGTATATTCGTGACCAATGGAGTTTTTGCAGTGGAACTCTGAAAATGGTTCAGATCCAGAAGTAATAAAGATTCGTTACGTTGTCAATAAAACTGTTTCTGACACGTCTGGCAACTAATTAACTGTCCGGAAATAAAATTTCAACCCAATGAATACGTGTTTCAATTTACTGAAGCTTAAATGCACAGGTAATTAAGGTAGATTGCAATAAATGATCACATATGCTAGCCAATACGTGCACCGATTTCAAAATTTGGTGAAGTCGATAGAGTTTCCAAACGACATTCTCTCACTGGACATCCATAGAACCCATTCTTTCACGCATAAAATCACTCAGGCTGGGCGCCCTATCAGGAATGTCTCGCTCTCGCTCTCGCTCTCTCTCTCTCTCTCTCTCTCTCTCTCTCTCTCTCTCTCTCTCTCCCTTCCTCTCTCTCTCTCTCTCTCTCTCTCTCTCTCTCTCTATATATATATATATATATATATATATATATATATATATATATATGTATAGTGGATCGTTCTTCTACCCAGTGATTTGATGTCGTAGATGGTCGGGCTGCGTTATCATTTATTTTGTTTTTAGTTAACATCAAATACTGTGGGAGACATATAAGGTGAAGAGCAATATATGAACGTTTTTGTTAGCACTAAATTTCCCTACTTTAGTTCTTATATTAAGTTAATTTAAGAATACACGTAAATAAGAGCGTTTTTTGGCATATTTTGATAGTAGCAGAATTTCGCTCCCGTGTAAAAAACTCTATACGCAACGCCTCTTCAGCTATACACAGTGATTTATTCGTTTGTCTACAAGTAACAATGCACAAGGTGCTTGAGAACACAATTATTCAAAGTGCTAGGTACATTTACCTAATACAATAATTGTAACTGTATGCGTTTAAGATTCACGTCATCAAAATTGACGAACGAAATGACAAAATTGATTGATTGAAGGAAATGGGATTCTACAGAGAATTCAGTCGCTAGTTGCGTATGTTGTGACCGCAAAAATGTAATGTTTAATGAAATAATTGACATTCAAACAATTATGTTTGCTGATATATATTTTCTCATATTCTGTCTCATATATGGAAAGTATTTTGTCCACTACCTCCTTCATCCTTCCCCCTAACCGGCTTAAATGAGATAGATAGCTTAAATGATGATGAAAATAGCTCAAATGAGACTTTAGGATACCTCAGTGAATAAAGAAATAGCAACCATCTTGCAGACCAAGGCAGGGGCGGAAGGATGTACCACGTAAGGTGGTACTTTTTTGTAAGGATTAAGTTAATTATTCCACAATATAATCTTAGATAATAAACGTTGGAACTAAAAAAATCACATTACTATCATTATAAGTTTCCTTTACAAATATGTCATAAATATCCGTCTTCAATTACAATGAAGAGTAATATTAAAGTTTTTTAAAGATTTTCATAATTTATAGCATGTGCATTGAATATGTTAGATTAATATATTTATACATTTATGTTTTAATACCCTGATGATGAAGGTCAATGACCTTCGAAACGTTGATTTATAAAATCGTACAAAGTCATTATATTTGTTTAAAAATAAAGTTTGTTATAAGTGTATGTCTGTCTCCAAAATACGGACGTTCCTATAATTTTAAAAACATATTGAGGAAAGCACTAATTATTTAATTTTACTCAAGTAATTTAAAATTTAACCTCAGTCACTTAATTTCATATATTCTTACATACACACTATTAATCAATATTTCTTCAACATGTAAGTCAATTTTCTTCATTTTTTTCACAATCTCTTACATGACAAAATTGCAAGTGGTAAAATTTGGCGAACTTGCAACTACTTGATAGTATCTGGTCTATTCATATTATCTGCCTATCCATTTCGGATTATTATTTTAAAATGTCTTCCGATGATGTAGTAGCATAGTGTGCCGTCTTCTTGACAAGTACGTTGTTGCTTTCTGTCTTCAAATATGTAATAAATAATGACTTCATGCAATAGGAATACTATTCCTGATAATATCTTAAAATATTATACACTTCAAGTAGAATAAAGAAGGAAAGTTAAGTAAAATTTAAGTACAACTAGAGCAAGCAGAATTGACGTGACGTAAAATTGAATACAAATTGAAATACTCAATGCGTAAGATAGAAAAACGTACACACGATGTTCCCTGAATAGAGAGATGCAGGGCACGAGAAGAGACACGTGGAACATATGTCTAGGAATTGTTGATAAGACGGCAAATTAGGTTCGAGTAATAATAAAATTGGAGTTATGGTACTAGTGTATTAATGTTATACATTGTTTATTATATATTATTCTATGCCAGAATACATTTTTAATCGTATATAAGAAGTTTAAATATATTGACCCTTAGAACAGTTCCCTGGGTACTGTTTTTAAGAGTAAATAATTGTTTCCTATACCAATTTAAACCATAAAATAATTTAATATTATATTATAAAGTAAATAGAACGTCTGGTTCTTCTCTTGCATTAAAATTTGATTGTAATTAACATTTATTTACAAAACGCATTAAAGCAGGTTAATATCGTACATTCTCTTTTGGTAAAAAAACACTTTCTGCAAGTTGACATTTTTTTCATTTATAATGATTATATTTAATATATCTTCATTAATTTCAATTAAGATTTCTTAACATTTCATCACAAAACGTAAATCTGCCTTTTTCATTTATTTTCTGCACAAATTACTTTTGACAACTAATATTGGAATAAAGTTTCCATGGATTAACACTTTTGTCGATTCATCATTTCGTTCTTTTTAGCAATCAAATATCTCGAGACATTAGCCGGCATAAATCGTTCCCCTTTGTTTAGCATCGTTTAAACAAAAAAGTTGTCTCTTTTGAAGGAATTGGAGGTTGACATTCTTTTAAGAGAACTGTTTGCACAAGAATCTTATTTCCTGAACAAACTTTGCCGCCCAGGTCAAACTTTCAGTCTGAGGAAGAGGGCCTTTCGTCTCCGAGATGAATAACCCAATTCGTTGTCGATTGAACGTAGCTTCAACGCAAGCAATGCAGACCGTGCACTCCGCGCAATATGCAAATTATGAATTTATTGTTAGGAATTCTGCAAATTCTCGTTTAATTAATTCTTGACTTTTGATAAGCCTATGATAACTGTGAATCTAGAACACAAAATTACGTCTCTAATATCTTATATTTTACTCATATCATTTTACACTCCATTAAACAAGCTATTTAACGAGAACGATATTAAATTATTATTCATATTTATAACAATTTCAAACACAATTTTGCTCGGAATTATGTGACAACGCTAAACACTCTCAATTATTTTGTTAAGAAATTGATTATTTCTTTGCCAATGAACTACTAGATATTTAAAATGTTATTATATTGCGGTTGTTTTTTCACGATATAAAATGATAACCAATATTCATAAGAGTTTGAATCACTATGAAACGTCGTCTCAATTTTCATTCAACAAAATGAATTTCTGTATTAAAATATGTTTTTTTTTTTTCGTTTTACTCTTTCCGCTTATAATATCCAAGTTAAAAAGAAAAAGCTTAAACGGTTATGATCCTCCAATATAACCATTTTTTTTTCGATTCCATTTTCCTTCTAGTTTCACAATCTCAAACTGCAACAACAATAACCTCTTATTGCTTTCATAACATTATCATCACATTTGTGGCTGTAAAAAACATTAATGACTTACTTGCATTATTCTACTATCAGAAATAAGCAAGTTCAAAGGGAGCAAAATATTCAAATTTAAACTTCTCCTGAATAGAAGATACCATTTGAAGGTTGATAATCCTGTATGTAGTCATTCATGTGTCCTAGCTAATACCTCGTTAAGAAAATGTTGAATCAATGATTAAAATAAAGTCTGAAAAGAAGAATGTAATTTTAGAATTACTTCTTATTTTTTCCGTTATCAAACTTATACCACCCAACCGAAACGAAAATGAAGATACCCCTCACTTATTTGAAATCTAGAGAAAAATTTCACTTTATTTTAAATCACCCTCAAGTACGTCCTTGCGGATGGCTCGCCTGTGGTAAAAATGTATGGCAACCCGCACAGCATCGCGATGTAGCAGTTTGCAGCAAAATGGTGCCAAGGGGCCGGCAGGGCAAGTGATCATTGTCAAGGCGGACACCGGCTGAGCATATGTTTTTTGTTTGAATGAATGATATTTCCGGCCGCGTCAATGGCTAATGTCATTCGTCCTGTAAGTGTAGTATATGTTTATCTTGTGAGGTTGAGGTCGTATGCTTCCCCTTCTTGGATGACAAGATCCGGCGCCGGCCTATACCTCGCTTAGCCGAGTTTCCCTTACTAGGTATCTCCTAACAGCGGGGCACCTAGGCAGACGGAATAAAGTCTTAACTTTCGACTGGTCTCTCGGCATGTGTGGTAGTGTAGTCCTTTTAAGTGTAAGTACGCAAGGGGTGGGTTTAGGACAAGTAAGAGGAAGAAATGTTCGCGGCCTGTTTGTTGGATACTGCTCCAGCATTTGCCAGGTATTGATCAGAGAAACCACCCTCCTGGCAAGTGAATGTCTCTTTACAGTTTGTGAGAAGCGATACTTCAACCTATGTTGCGGTGGGCGACTTCCTCCCTGCGCGAATCGATCAAAGGAAGCGAGTATCGATGCACGCAGATCCGATGGAACCTCCGCTGCTGGCTCTGGCTGGCCTCCCGCTGCGGCGGCGGCGCCGCGAAGAAGGAAATTTGCTTCGCCCGTCGGACGCAGCGGCGGCGGCCGGGGGGGGGGGGCTTCCCCGCGAGGGGGAAAAAGGGGCGGGGCCGCTCCGTTACGCGCCCAGCGGGGCCCTGCGAACCGATTTTTATGGCCCAATGGGTAAATATTTTGCAGGCGCCGGGCCTTCGCCCAGCCGCCTGCGCCGCTGCCGCCGGCTGGGGCAGTAGCCAGCGGGGGGGAGCAGGGGCGGGCAGGGGTGCGCAAGGGTGAGCAGGTGTGGATTGGGTTGGAGGGGGAGGCAGGGGCGGGAGCTGGTGGGGAGGGGAGGAAATAGGCAGGCAAGAGTGGTTGGGTCTGGAGTGGGGGGCTGCGGCGAATGGGATATCGCGTGGGCAGGAGTGACCAGGTGGGATCAGAAAGGTGTGCTCGATAGAGTAGGAATCTCAGGGGAGAACAGAGAGTCTAAGCATTCCAGATCACATATCTCTCTCTGGCTGTACGTCTTGGATGCAGTGTTAAAGTAAAGTTTTATTAATAATTAGGAACAATACTTTGGATACTATTATCACAGTCATCTAGAAATCCTCGGATTTAAAAAATTTATTGTTTTGCCTACTTGTTCAAAGTAATGTTTATATCTTGCACGTGTCTCAATTTATGCTCGAATTATTTTCAATGCTCAAATTCTCTTTTTATTATTTTTGCATCTAATATATTTTCTTTGAAAACATATTTTTACATATGTTTGTATTCTTTTATTGAACTCTTTATTTTAACATTCATTATCTCCAAATAAAAATTGTATAAGTAGTTATTATCAAATAGATTTGTAGTGGTTAACGTGGTTTTTAACATAACTTGTACCAAATAACCAATGCAATGGAATTCGTGCAAATGTACCCGTGCATTTTTGTGAAATCAATTAAAATCTTACGTTTTCATATATCTAGTAATTTGAAGATAATATTTATTTACAAATACAATATTAATCATGGTCAAAGAATACAGCGTCATATAATCCATCAAATATTCATTGTGAAGAAGAGGAAGAACTGGTTATAGAGTTTGAGATAATGTCGATAGCTGGAACATTTCAATCTGAACGATCTTTAAAGAACGAAGACAGGTTGGTGATAAAATTTTGCTTAGAAGACGAAGTGGGTGGAGCTTGAGAACATGGCACCGGAGGTTTGAGGGGGTGAGCAGGAATGCTGACGGGGTGCCGGAGTTGCGGATACAATTTAGTCTTCGAAAAAGAGAGCAGGAAAAGCTGAGTCTGAAGAGCGCAGAAATGACGAGAGAAGTCACAAGAGAGCCAACCTATACGACGGTTTGCACGCTGGCGGCTTTACCGCAACTACTCGCATCATATATTTGTACGTGAATACTCTTGTTCAAAAAGCACATAAATACGAGGTTTCAAGCTATTATTTTGATACATTAATAAGCAATCACTAAATAAATATGAGTTTCTCTCTAATGGCAAATCTCTTTCAAGCCATGTTATGCTATGTATTGTTTCTTCTACAACGGTATATTTACAAATAGTGAATACAATATTAATATATCTCATTAGAAGAGAACTATTTCAAATTGTTGTTGACTGATTTTACTTTATTGTGTCCACAAAACTGCATTAAATTATAAAATACATCGATAGCGTAAATATTAACGAGGTTTGAGATGTATACAAAACGTATATAATTTTAATGTTGGTAACATTGAATCTTTTAATAACAATCACGCTTATGTCATGTAATTTAGATTTTTGTGTACTATTTGTACGAACATGTTCAAGGAAAATTGGAACCTTTTAAAAAATGTATTTTACAATAATTGACTCTATTTGATTCAAATTTATACCATGAGATGATGAAATTTAAAGGAAAAGGACTTTAATTTAAATCGAATTACATTTCCGAAAGTTATTGCAAAAAAGCGTGTACTACATTCACAATAAATTGTAAATCTTTTCAAAGTCAGTTAAACACATACTACTTCAGGAGCGTGTATTAAAGGAAGCTGCTCTACCCAATAAACGATTATTCTATCTTTCAAATCGTTGTTTTTCAATGAACGTTAATGTAGATTCCATGAACCTCAAAGGTAACAAACCACTAAATACTACCAATCAGAAGAGCTATAATTCTTTTTCAGACTTCGCCTGAATTTTACCCGTGCAGCAACATCGCTAGAGCTGAAAATACCGCCATCGTCGGAACTCAAACCTTAGGACTGAGACTAATCAAGGAATAAGCTTCTCCAAGCCCGGAAGCATTATTTTTGCGAGATCATTCCATTTTCCTCCGAGCTGAACACTCCTGGGTTACACCCTAAACCGTGTGAGACTTTCTCATAATTATTCAAAATCACAGATTATTCAATATATATTTACCCTGAAGATCGTAAATATTTTACAGTATTATGCCAAGTTGCGATGCTTCCATTACTTTTTCATATAGTAATACACAAGATTTTTATGCGCATCACTTTGTATGGACCACTGGAGGTTTCAGGTTCCAGCAGGTTTGGTGCAGGTTTGGTTTCAGGTTTGGTGCAGATTCTGCACTCCGGTTCAACATAAACTATTCATATAGATAGTTTGTATTTTTCCTAGGGCGTCCACTGTACCACCTCAAGTATTCATGTCATTACCACAAATGTAGTATCAACAGTGCTACCACACACGTGCGGTTACGGTTAAGTCCGAAATATGACTAATTCGCAAATTAACCTCTTGAATTCTACAACAGATTACCACAATAGAACAATGTAGATAAATTTTTATAAATATCAATAGACAAATAATTTCAGACTTCATCCAACAATGCATTAGTTACACGCTACTGACTAAAATAAGGTGCTTGTCAAATTCTGACAAACACCTTATTTTAGTCAGAATATATGTTGGCATAATTGTTATAGAATGTTGTACAAACTCAAGGTTGTTTTATGATCTACATGAAGAAGCCCATAGGCAGGAGCCTCGTCTTCTCCTCAGAAGTGCAATATATTAAACATGTATTTTAAATAATGTGATCGTTGATCGGCTAATTCGCAAATAATCAAAATTCTACAATAAAAGTAACCTTAACACAAATAGAGCCCGTAAATATTTATATAGTTGTGAGTTGACCTTTACCTGGTGTCGCCATTCCTTGCTACGCTTGCAAACTTAGATACAGACTATCATCTTTAACAGGGGTAGAGCCACTATAACTTCACTTTCAATTACAGTAAATCGTTTTACCTGTAGGGAGTAGCTTCATTTGCCCGTCAACCCCTCCTCCAATGCCCGCGTTCGTCTCCGGGCCGAGCAAAGAAAGGCCGCGCGTCGGGTGCAGATTCTTTGGCCGTCGCTGAGTCTGGGCAGAAAAAGACGAAGTGGCCCTGAGGGGCCGACCGAACGCGCGCCAACAACTTCCCTAGTCCATTCCGCTCCCCTCTGC